CAGTGTAAGACATGACAAAATAATAATAATAGTTTATAAATTATCAAGGGTTCATGAGGGAGTGGGAGCGGGGAGGGAGGGGGGAAATGAGGAGCTGATACCAAGGTCTTAAGCGGAGAGCAAATATTTTGAGAATGATGAAGGCAACGAATGTACAAATGTGCTTGACACAATAGATGTATGGCTTGTGATAAGAGTTATATGAGTCCCCAATAAAATGATTTTTAAAAATCAAATAAACTCCTTAGCCTGGCATTTAAGGCCTCCCATGACCGGCCCCTTGTCCACCTCTCCAGCCTCATCAGCTGCCCTAAGGCCCAGTCAGAAAGACTCATCTATAGTCGTCAGTTTGAATGACTGACTCTCTCTCTCTCTCTCTCTCTGGTCTTTACCCTGTGCCTTCTTCTATCAGTTCACATCTGTCCAGCCCACTGCTACCACCCCCATCCTTCACCTCCAGTACTAAGTGATTCTTGAAGACTTGCCCAAACACTGGTTCTTCCCAGAAGCCCTTCATCACTGTCCCTCCTAGATCTCGGTGGGTCCCACTCTCTACTCCTGTACCCTAGACACCGCCCCATCAGACAGCTATCACAGTACGGCTATCATCTCTTCACATCTCTCTCCTCACTAGACTGTGCGTTCTCCAGGGAGCCCTGTTCTCAGGGCTGGGGCTGGCACACAGCCTGTGGGTAAGAACTATTTATTGAACAAATGGAAAGATAAGTGGATGGCATACCTATAGGACCAATTCATTGTTTTCTTTTAATCACTTGGGGTTTAATACATACATCATATCAGTCCGCACTGCGATCACATCAGGAAGTAGTGTATGTTGCTCCCACAGTCCGCTTCCAAACATTCGTTTTCTCCATAGAAGCTGGGGCTCCCGACGCCCGCAGCGACCGCCGTCTCAGAAGCCCCCAGGGGTTGCTGTGAGTCATGGGCCAATTCATTTATAGTTGGACCAACACACAAGACCAGTGACCTGCCTTACAAACCACGCCCAAGGACCCCTACCTCCTGTGATGCTTGCCGTTGTACTGTCTGTCATTCCTAGATTGCAAGGATCCTACACGAGACCCTGCTGCCTTCTCACAAACACCCTTCCTCTGCCTCTATTTCCTCATCTCTCTAGGGGCTACTCTGCACCTTCTGTTTCTATTTCTCCAGCTCCTGTTCTTCCATAGAGCTCCCTCTGTCTGACTGCTGATCTGCCTCTTTGATGTGGCCCCGGGCTTTTGAATTAAGGCCATGCAAGAGCTTCTCATGGCTGGTGTCCCTGGTTCCCCTTTGCACTGGTTAGGAAGCTTATTTGGAAGAAAAGAGAAACTGAGGAATAGAAGCAGAGTTCCCGAGCATTCTCTGTGCTCAGTAGGAACATATCAAAAATGGAAATGGGATGGAACAGGAAGTCAAAGACAAATGACAAGGAGATGCTGTCCCCTGGCCCCGTGGGTCCTCCCACGTGGAGGCAGCGCCACACCCTCCTTCATTCTCCCACCGGGGACCATTCGATCCATGAGTTCAAAGGAAAGAATGGGCCTGTGGGAGCCCACCCCTCCGTCCTCCCTTTCTTTGGAAGCAAGGAAGTGGAATTGCTCCTCCCACCCTCAACTTTGGAT